CTCTTCGCCGCCGTGGGGGGGAGCCTCATCCTGGGCTACACCCGCTCCCGCAAAGTGGACAAGCGCAGCGACCCATACCACGTCTACATCAAGAACAGGGTCTCCATGATCTGAGACCGGTCCCGACGCCTTGTCCCTCGGCAGCCAGCGGGTTTGGGGCCATGTCGCTGCTGCACATCCCGCTGTGGGTGGGATGGGGCAGCGCTGCCAGCCAGCCCGGCCCCAAAGCTGCTGGGAAACCCCCGCCGGTGCCCCCCTGGAGGTGCTCAGCCCCGGTGTGAGCAGTGTGGGGACGTCCTGGCCGGGCTACAGCTCCTGTCTGGCAGGAGCTGGCAGGGTGCGGACCCGCAGGCAGGTCCCGGTCCTGCAGACCCACCTCGGCTGAGCCCTGGGGGCACGAGGCTGGCAGGGGCCTTCAAGGAGGAAAACTCACCATTTCCCTGCTCAGACCGGCCAGTGTTGACCTCCGTGGGCTCCCAGCAGCTTCGTGACACGGGCTAGCGGGCTTTTCTGGTGCTAAAACCGTGTAATTTTTGAGCTGGGCTGGGCCCCGCTTTTGTGGCGGGGAATTAAAGGAGGTGGCGGTTTCCAGTGGGGTCGCGTTTGCTTCTTCTCTGAGCAGAGTCGGGGTCGGAGGTGATCTGTGGGGCACCCCTCCATGCTGCCGAGCCCGGGGGATGCTGTAAGGGCTAAACCTGCTCCCTGTGTGCTGCCGAGGGGGCAGCAAGGGCAACCCCTTGGTGGCATCGCAGCCCCCGTCCCAGGACACGAGATGCTTTCTCCTCGCCGCCACCCGCGGAGCATCGCTCGAGCCACGGGCACACGCTGCGGCGCGGCCCGAGCCTGGCTGGAGGCATCCGGCCCCGCGCGTCCCCGAAGGTCTCTCTGGGCTCTCTGGACGGTGATGCCGAAGTTTTTCCTGCTTCCTTCCTGCTGTCGGCTGTAGCTTTGGCCTTTTGTACCACAGGTCCCAAAGGTGTTTTCCACGGGGCGAGGGTGCAGCGACGGACGGGAAGGGGATGTTCTCGGGTCCTGCTGGGCTCCTTGGCTCCTCCGCTATCAAGCTGGCTGGGTTTGGGACTGGCCCGTGGAGTGGCCGATGTCCAGGACACTAAACGTCCCCATCCTTCAAAACAGGCTGCGGCGACCCAGTCCCTCGCACGTCTTAACCTGTTAATAATGGCATAATTAATGTCTTTAATTGCAGCTAGATTAGCTGACCCATAGGGGCCTTTCCGCCTGCATTCAACGGTTAAACGCAGCTGCAATGCCTGAGCCCAAAAAGTGACGCCAAACCCTAATCCAAAAAATAATACTGGATGTGAGCGTGTTTGGGGTATGGCTGGAAATCTTGGCACGGGAGACAGCGGGATGGCCGCAGCTCAGCGACCAATTCCTGATTTCCCATGCCCTTGGCTTGGGCACAAAACCCAAGGCAAGGGGTTTTGGGGAGCCCTCGGGGGCTGCCCGCTTTGGGGCTGAGCCCGCTGAGTTCGGAGCCGGCCACGGGGTGCCAATGGGGCTTTCTGGGGGTGCGGGGGGAAATGCCACCAACGTCCCCAGGCACCTCGCCCAAGAGGGAAGTAGCTCAAGAGGCTTTGCCGTGTTTGCCTTGTGGTTGCAGTGCTGGGAAAGGAAAATAAATCCTTTACCTGCAAATAAATCGGGGGAATCGGGCCAAGTGGGGACAGCAACCCTCCGCCGGGTTGGTTTGTGTAAGCACAGACTGCGCTCGGGTTTTCTCCACCTCCGCGGTGTTTGTCCTCCTCTGATACCGGCACTGATACCGGCTCCTCTGGCGGGATGAGCCACGGAGCAGCCGCTCACGCCAGGGCCAGGATGTGGGTCCCCGTGATGGGATGGGTGCTGAATGGTGAGCGTGGCACCCCAAAACCCCCCAGTTAATGTGGTCTTCTTGCCTCTCCTGATGGCCACCGGCTCTCCCAGGAGAGGGGGAAGCTGGCGTGGATCTAGTGACCCCAGAGTCCCTTCTGCTGCTATGACCAGGGTGGGACAAGTCTGTTACAGGGTGGCATGTCATAAAAAATGTTTAAAACGCTGCTTTTCCCTAATCCAGAAGACCCTAAGGGGGAAAACCCCTCCTGCAAGACATAGCTCCTGCGGTGATCATTATTCACCCGATTTCCAATCCATCGGCAGCTCCTCCCGTCCCTCCCTGCAGTTAAATTCAGAGCAGAGCCTGCAGCAGGGCTGGGGGGATGCCCTGGGTGCCCCCACCCTGGGGCCTCGGGCTGGAGGCCACCAGGCTGGGTGACAAGGTGCCAGTGCCACCTTGTGGCAGTTGCCTCAGGGTTCCTGCGCCACGGGCACCTGCTCCATCCCTGGGGCACCCTGGGATCCCCGGGGCCGGAGAAGCTGTGCTTGTCCCCACGGGACCCACGGCTCCGGGCTGGCCGGGCCCCACCCGGGACCCACGGCTCCCGGATGGCTGGGGGGCCCCCCCGGACCCCCAGCTCCCGGCCGGGCCGGGGGCCCCCTGGTGGCGGGGTGGCCCCACGGGACCCACACCTCCAGGCTGGCCGGTGTCCCCTTGGGACCCACGGCTCCAGGATGGCTGGGTGGCCCCACGGGACCCACAGCTCCAGGCTGGCTGGTGGCCCCTTGGGACCCACGGCTCCGTGTCAGCTTGACGAGCTCATCCTCAGGAGGGGGTTGTGCTGGGCTGCTGAGGACGCTCGGAGGGGTATGGAAACAGGGGGCTATGGGGAGGACGGCTTTGGGAGCCTCCTGAAATGGGTTTGCTTCAGCTGACGGAAGGATTTTGAGACTAATTAAGTGCTCATCCCAGAGGTCAGAGATTCCTCGTCAAAGCCGACGGGGCTCTGGCCTCGGTCCCTGTGCTGCAGCCCCAGGAGCAGACGATTTCTGGGTAATTTGTTTTAACAGCAAGGAGACGCACTCAGGCACACAGAGAGGAGAGCTGGGGAAGCGCTGGCCTTGGCTGAATCACTAAAGCCAACTGTGCAAATCATAGCTGACTACATTTGGGTTTTAAGCAATGCAGATAGAAAAAAAAAAATAGGGCTCATGGGAGGCCAATTTATTTAAGATTTCTTTCCTTAGCATGCAGCAATGAATCACGGGTGAGACAATGTCTGTAGCAGTTTGGTATTTGTTTCTGGTACTTGGAAAAGGACATTGAAACATTGTGTGTATGGGAAGCCCAGGCTGACCTTGGCTTAGTGAAGGAACGGTAGGATTGTCGGAGCGACGGGAATCGCAGAGGCCTGTTCCTGGGACTGCTTTGATGCTGGGCATTTCGATAAGAAATGTGCAAGGTGAAACGGTAGCAGTGCAGGGACTGATAGCGATGGTATCGCTGAGCGATGCCAGCGGGTATCAGGGAATGTTTAGCTAACAGTGTGAGGTGCCTCCAGCAGTTTGTGGTATACTGGTTTTGGCCGGTGGATATATGTGGCACAGCAGCACTGAGGTATGGGAAGGTTTGTTCAAGGGGAGCTGCTTCTCCGAGACAGCGGTCAGCGCTCAGTGGGAATCCTGCGCTGCTGACGGGGCCAGCGTGCAGGAGAAGAGCAGACTGCTGGCATGGGAAGGGCGCACAGCTCTCCTGTCAGGTGTGCCGAGCCAGGCTTACGCGCGCAAATGCTTCTTTGCAGCCTCTGGTAGACAGGGGTCACGATGGGGAAAGTTAATCTTGGGAAACATTAAAAAAAAAAAGGAGGGGGAAGGGAAAAGAAAAGCGCTCCCAGTGCACGGCAGGGTAGAGAAGTGCTGGACGAGCATCCCTGCGCTGCAGCAGACAGACGCCAGACAAGTATCTTCCACCTTGCAGCGGGGTGTTCCCCTGTATTTTCCCGGGGTAACCTCTCGCCCCTCTCGCCCTCCCTGTCAGCCGTTCTTGCTGGTTATGCTCATTGTGCTGGCTCCAGCACGATTTGGCGGGTAGGTTTGGTACATAGATACCACTGGGTGATGTTTATTTGCTAATCAAATGACTGTTAGCTACTAAGGAGTCCTAACGAGCTCTATTTGTCCCATGCATAGAGCTACAACTAAATGCTACAAAGCGAGGGGTGGGAAAGCTGAGGAGGGGATTAAGGGCAGTTCGTGCATCAGTGGCAACCGCTGCCCACAAGAAATCAGACACGAAGGTGTAACGGTGTCCTGGCTGTGCAGGTGCAAAGCTGTGGGGCTCAGTGCTGCGGGTGTTGGACGAAAGCCCTGCTGCACAGCTCCCAGCGTCCTACGGAAACACGAGCGGTTTCAAGCAGTGACATTAGTTATTCATTACTGCCCGTCTTCCTCCGGCGGGAGAGCAGAGGTGATGTCCCCCTGCGAGGTAACTCAACCAGCCCTGCTTGGAGATGGGGTTGGCCATTGCCAGTGCTGCCTTAAAAGGATTTTCTGGGAGGTGACGAGGTCATTATTATGGGAACGGGGCTGCTCCCGGACACACAAGCTCTTCCTTCACGTCAGAAACCCTCAGTGTCTGAAACACATCCATTTCTTCTAAATATATCAGTTCCTCCCACCAAAGACGCAGCCTGTTCCTACAACCTGCCTTGCTGACGGCCCTGCGGCGTCACGGCTGGAGTGACACCCTTGTTCAGAGGGATGAGAGAAAGAAAAGGGACTTAAACCAAAGCATCTGACCTGTTTGGAAGCTCTGCAGGAATTGCCACGCAGGGCCGGTTGCTTGAAGTTTTCTATCATCCTGCTGCATTGGGTGTCCGTCCATCTGCCCGAGTCGCCTCTCTCACACCAGGCTGGTACCTGATGCTTTAGATAAAGATGTGGGAAACTAAATGAATTATGTGCAGGCATGAAAAACATCTATTCTGCCCCTCTCCATTTTCTGCCTGTCCAAGCTAGCCCCCTCCAGCTCCTCTGCGAGGACGGGTTTGTGTGCTGCTGGCAGCGTGGGATGCATCTCTGCGGCGGCAGAGGGAGCGCCGGCTCCTGACGGCTCTTCTCCAGGGGATGCTCAGCACAAACCCCACCTCTGACATGTCCCTCTTCCCTAAAAGAACTCCGATGTTTGCTGCTGCAACGTTTTTCACTCACAGCCCTTCACCGAGCAGCGCTGGGTGCAGCTCCCGCTCTTGCCTAACCCAGATAAGTCATTGTACAAA